GTATAACACCGGCCATGCTGCAACACGCAGATGAACGGATAATATCATATCTGCAGGACATTTTTAGGGCTTGTTTACTTTTGTCGTACATACCCAGTCTATGGAAAGAGGTTACCGTGACCTTCATCCCGAAAGCCGGGAAGCCGAGTCATACGGTACCTAAAGACTATAGACCGATTAGTCTTTCTTCCTTTCTACTAAAAACTTTAGAAAGGTTACTAGACTCAGAAATTAGAGATACCATTGACCGTAATAAACTTAGTAAATCCCAGCATGCCTATATCAAGGGCAGATCAGTGGATACAGCTCTGCATGAGGTGGTTGGATACATCGAGAAGAATATGGAGTCCTCTGGCTACACGTTGGCAGCATTCCTCGACATCGAAGGAGCTTTCAACAATGTGAAGCTAGAGGCAATCCATTCTGCTCTCGTAGACATAGGTATCCCCTCACTCCTTACGGAATGGATTGATAAAATGCTGGAAAGCAGAATTATCAACTCATCCCTAGGAGAGAGTTCCGTGAGGAAATCTGTCAACAGAGGCACACCTCAGGGTGGAGTTCTTTCCCCCCTTTTGTGGCTTCTGGTGATAAATGAGATACTTATGAAATTCAATCATCTCAGGATAAAGGTTGTAGCCTATGCCGATGATGTAGTCTTGTTGGTTGGGGGTAAGTTTATTACGACAATATCAGACATCCTGGAGGGTGCTCTTTCAACCCTGTCAAATTGGGCTTGCACCAAAGGTCTTGGTGTAAACCCCACAAAAACCGAACTGGTACTCTTCACTAGGAAATACAAAATTCCTAGTTTCCGTCTGCCATCACTTGGTGGAGTGACATTAACCCTTTCTGATGAAGCTAAATATCTTGGCACTGTCCTAGACCGCAAGTTACTGTGGAATAGGAATGTCGAGGAACGCTCTAAGAAGGGATTGATGGCACTCTATTCATTCAAGAACTCCATAGGCAAGAGTTGGGGATTGAGACCCGGAATTATACACTGGTTGTATACGACGATTGTCTTACCAATACTTACTTATGGATGTCTTGTCTGGTGGCAGGGGGTGAATAAAAAGAAGCTGCTGACAAAACTGAGCTTAGTACAGCGATCGGCTTCAATTCTGATCACCGGAGCATTAAGAAGCACACCACAAGCAGCCTTGAATGCAATCTTGAATCTCCAACCATTGGACATTCTGATCAAATTCCAGGCTGCTAGGTGTGCCCTGAGACTCCGGGAAACAGATGCCTTGAAATCGCTGAACTATGGTCATGCCAGCATTCTAAACATAGCGCCAAGTTATAAACTTTTTAGGGGGGGATAGTCATATCAGTGACTATATTCCCCCCATAGGGATTTTAATGACATTAAAGTCGAATTTCCTAACAGGGAATCCTGGACTAGTGGCTCCCTACCTCTGCCAGGTCTGTCAATCTTCACAGACGGGTCCAAGAAGGAGGAAGGCACTGGCGCAGGCGTCTACTGCAGGGAATTAGGTATACGAAACTCATATAAACTCAACAATGATTGTAGCGTTTTTCAAGCAGAGATTCTTGCAATCACGAAAGCGGCCGAGATAGTAAAAGCACTTAATACAGACATTACGGGACCGGTGACTATTTATGTAGATAGTCAGGCGGCCCTGAAAGCGGTGAAGTCGCATACTATAAACTCGAAAGCAGTTCATGATTGTAAAACCGCTCTGAATGATATACGTCAAATAGTTGGGTTATGCTGGGTTCCAGGACATAACGATATTGAAGGGAATGAGATAGCCGACGAGCTTGCTCGAGGGGGGTCACAGTCGTCCAGTCTTCTGATTGAGAGATCTGTGAAACCCCCTATTAGCTATTTCATTGGCAGAATCCGCGCGTTCCATTGCGAGGTAGTCGGCAACAGATGGCTAAGGGAACCTGCATGCAGAATCTCTAAATCTATCTGGCCAGAATTCTCTCGTAAAAGAACGTCTTCGCTGCTGGATCACAACAAGAGGGAGATTAAGATCGTTGTGGGGATCATTACTGGTCACTGCAAAGTTAGATCTCTCACTTTTAAGTGGGACTCCAGTGGAGAGGATTACTGTCGTCTATGTGAGGATGAAGAAGAAGTGGAAACAATTGAGCACATCCTTTGCAAATGTCCATCGCTGATCAGCAGAAGACATAAACAGTTTGGATGTTATGAAATTGATAATCTAGTCTTCTTCTCCAAATTAGGTTAGGGTCTATAACCTAATTCTAGGCTTTGTCAAAAAATTGACTTGGCTAAAATAATGTCTCTTCCGCTCCCACCCATTCTGACTACCTCTCTCTCTACTCTTCCACTATCTTTTCTTCTTTCTCTTTATAGGTACACCTATGGCAATTTTGATAGATTTTACAGATTTTTTTTTAAAATATTTATCTGTAAATGATTTTATCGGTGCTTAGTTACAAAATTTAACTAAATTAAAAAGCTTTTTTAAAAATATTTTCAAAAAAATGCAGTAAAGTAAAAAATCACACAATGTTTTAATTATGTGGCCACGCAAAGTCGATGTTTTTCCATAAAAACCGTTATTTATGGAAAAATTACATGCTATAATTTTCTATTTTCCCACGAAATATCTTAAGTGCCGTATATAAAAGTGTCATGAAGTAAAAAAAAATTCTAAAATACTTAAAAAAAAAAAAACCGAAGGCTGATTAAAAACAGCCTTATTCTGGATGTCAATTCCACGTGAATTTACTCGCTCTTCCCCTTCGTCTTATTCTGAACAACATTTTTGTGTGAATTTTTTCGCATTTTCGCTTTCGCCTTATTCTGAACAACATTTTTGTGTGAATTTTTTCGCATTCTCGCTTTCGCCTTATACTGAATGAAGTTCGAAAGCGAAAAAATCCGCTTTGGGGAAAAATTAGGTATTCTGGATTACAGGGAATAGGAGAATGAGATGAAATTTTGTGCGATTTTTTTCGCTAATAAATTCAAAGTGAGTTGACTACAAAAACATAAGTAATAAATATTTTTATGAAAAATATTAACACAATACTTATTCTATGACGATTTAAAATATTATAAATGATAGTAAGCAAATATTTATCTGGAAACAGCAAATAAAATGCCTTTGGAAATCCTATTGATAATGATGCATGCTGAACCAAATATTGCCAAGGAATGTATAAAGGTAATAATGAATATTTAAGTCGAGTTTGATGCATTTTGGAGGCGAAAAACAGACATTTTGTGTGAGGATCTGTATCTCAAGAAAAAAAATTATAGAAAAACCAAATTTGCCTAATGAACCGCTTAACAGTGAAAAACTTAAACAAAAATTATGAAACAAAAAAAAAAAATACAAAAAATATTTTTTTCAAAATTATCCTTTGCATTATTTGAAGGAAGAAATAAAGGAGTAGGAGCATAACAGGCCACTTTAAGAATTTGGAGAGATAAAATATCGAAATTAAATAAAAAGGCACACAATTATGTGCCTGTGTTTTTCCCATCATAAAAAAATGTTCTTTTATTTGTAATCTATTGTAGTTGTTGTACCAAAATGCATCAAAACAATGAAGAGCTGTTTCACATGTCATATTGTAGGTTGCCATATTTTCAAACTTTAATTAGTGTTCTTTTAATTACAAAGCATTTATAAAGCGGATTCTTGATATTTCACATTTATATTGTTATAAAGTTTAAACCACAATAACAAGTAACAATTTTTAATAAAATAATCAATAAATAAAATATTGAAAAATATTACACAATTAAATTACAATGGGGCAACACACATTACAACTTTAATTACAATATGGCACCACACATTACAACTTAAATTATAATATGGCAACACGAATCTTTTTTTCAACCACCATTTTCGAAAACTCGAATCCGCATCTCGCATGTTTTTTGCGCATCGGCCCAGCTGTTGGACAAATAAATGTCAAAAATGTTGTTGTAATGTTGAACCAAAAAAGGTATATTTAACATAATTTGGTAAAAAAATCTTGCCAATCTGTTTGTTTTGGCAAAATAGCTGTTGGACAAATAAATGTCAAAAATGTTGTTGTAATGTTGAACCAAAAAATTAAAAAACAAAATTATAAATGAAAATCTCCGAATTTCTAATAGCTTTTTTGGCAATACTTTTATTAACAGTTTCTACAAGAATTTGTGTAAAAAAATCTTGCCAATCTGTTTGTTTTGGCAAAATATTTTTGACATATCAAAATACAACAACCGATGTTTGTTGTAGAAATTCGCCGATGCGGCTACCTTGTATATCTACCTTGCGTCTCCCTATTCATTCAGAATAAGGCGAGAATGTGAAAGCGAAAATTTTTGTATGTGCGTGATATCTCCCAGTGAATATCCAGAATAAGGCTGAAAATGTTTACCACAGTAAATGTTTAAATTACGTGACCACCACTGTAGTTTTGCATTCATTCTTACACAGGATTGCAATAAATTGAAATTTATAACAACCAATCCAGTTTGTTTTTTGTTTTTACCGTTAGTACGCCGACAATATCACAAAAAGAAAATCGTTTGATCACATCCAGTGGAAATCCAAACCAGCGTTAAAGAAACTTTACATCACATTTGCCCGCAAATGGATTTTAATGTTGAAACTCGAAATAAGTAGCCGCTGTTTGTGCAAACGTCAAAAAGGTTTTTGTAATTAAAAATCAAGAAAATAAATAACGGAATACGCTCTTACTCACGAAGTAATACGGACGTCCAATAACACTGTAGTGTTAGAATGTTCATATTAGATACAAGCCAAAAAGTTAATTGCGTATCATGTGTGTTAATAGTTTTAATATTAAGACATATTGGGACAAATGAGTTCCTTTTTTCTTTATTAAATGTTATAATAATATTAGGCGCAACGACGTTTACAGGGTTTAATTAAATAAAGGATATAAAATATTATATAAAGTAATAACATCTTGACGTTAAGTACGTGTCGAAAACATTGAAGTTACTTCTAAAAGGCAAAAAAGTGCATTTATTATTGTTGTGACCTTTGGCCTTGGCCAGGCGATTGTTGAGCTTGTCTTAGAACATCAGCGAAGGCCGGCAATGGCGTAAAATTCAATACTTCATTAAATACTAGTTCTTTCCACTTTTCAACTGACAAATCCATATCTTCAAAACTTTGATCATATAATGGTGAAGTTTGTTCATCTGTAGGATCGTGATATTTCTCCATATATGGATGGGCTAAAGCCTGTTCTGCTGTAATACGTTTCTCAGAATCTAATTCTAACATTTTCTCCAAGAGATCTATTGCCAAAGGATTTGCTCCGCGAAACACGTCGCGGAAATTACGGCGCTGCATAATCGGTAGCGAACGAATATAATTGCGAGCGCTATCTGAAGAAATTTTCTGCATAAAATCTTCTGGTGGAGTACCTAAAATTTCCATTATCAAATTTAATTGGTGTATATGGTCTGTACCCGGGAAAAGCGTGCGTCCTGTAAGCAGCTCAGCCATGATGCAACCTACAGACCAAATATCAACAGTTTGGTTATAGTGCATCCAATTAAGCATGATTTCTGGAGCTCTATACCAACGAGTAGCTACATAACCCGTCATTTCGCTTTCTGCTGGTCGTGCCAATCCAAAATCTAGAATTCTTAATTCACAATCCTCATTAACAGCAATATTTGATGGCTTCAAATCTCTGTGTATTATTCCAGCGCTATGAATGTACTTTAGACCTCTAAGAATTTGATAGACCAAAAACTGTACGTGGTCGTCCGACAATTTTTGAGTACGAATTATGTTATTGAGGTCCGCATCCATAAGATGTGTCACCAAATAAACTTGCTGAAAATTTTCTAAAGAATTTGGTGGTTGACCGGGATGAAAGACATCTAATAAACCAATGACATTTTCATGATCCATGTGCTTCAATAGTCTCAATTCACGGTATGTCCTTTTTGCATGTACGGCAGACTGGAATGGGCGGGCCAACTTCTTGATTGCCACTTTCATATTGGACCCACGTACAATGGCTAGTTAGGAGATATAATAAATAAAAATACTATCTTATCAACAGTTTCATACGATTTATCTGGTTGTTCTCTATTATACCTTTGCATACTTGTCCATATGCCCCACTACCAACCGATTGTAATTGTTGATAGGTGTCAGGGATTTCCCATTCCGTGCGATTTATATCCAGTTTATAAAACTTGGCCATCGTATGACGATATACGGTATACAACTAGCACTTTACACTATTTTCACCACCGAACAAATACACAAAATAAATGAAATCTATAAATTCACGCAACCAACAGAAAAATAAAAGAAAAATAAACGTCAGAAGAGAAAAAGAAGAGTTGCCGAGGGCAACGCAAATCGTAAGGGCGTAAAAATAAAATAGTGTTGCCAATCGTATATTAAAAAAAGTTGTTGTGTTTAAACATGGCAGATAAGTAAGTTACACCTTGAGAAATACAAATACAGAACTCATTCTGATTTAGAGTACATTTACATCGAACTTGTTCTACGGTAATCGACTTAGAGCGTGTCTAGACTACTAAATCCACTTGATTTCAAACGTCAATTCCATAGCGTATACATCACGTTAATCCTGTTCACAAATCAAGTGAACTATATTTGACGTATACGCCATGGAATTGACATTTGAGATCGTGTGCATTTCGTAAATCTAAACGTAGATTTAGTGTATTTGACATATATGCACAGGAAATACGATTTATTTATTTATTGCCACGAAAAAGCCATCTGGCCAATAAATATTGCAACATGCCAAAACTACAAATGACTAATTAAGAATTATACACGCTTTGTTTTTTGCTCAATATTTGTATGTACATATAAATAACTTTTAACAATATTTAATAGAGTAGAATAAGAGATGTAATGTTCCCACCATGGCACAATGAATAGGTAGTCCATTTAGCGCAGCTGATGTCTTGATTAACTGTCAAAGTGGATAATTTCTACTTGAATTCGATGTGCAGTGTTACCAACAATTTGAAATATTATATGAAAAAAATTGACAGATAATCGAGACAAAAACAAAGGTTTTTGTTGGTATACATCACCTTATTATTGCATCATGGTTCCCACAATATAAAAAACTATAAACATGTTTGGTGTAAACCAGTACTAAATTGAGAGTAATGGGCTTGATACACGAGCCATCAATGTCGTGCAAAATTGCATCTGTTAAATCGATATCACAACTCATATGTAATTTTTTAGTTGCGGGCTCGCCCTATTTCTATATGCATTTTCTTATGTAAACTAAACAAATCAGCTGTTTTGTTTGTTTGGCAAATGAAAGTAAATTTCTGATAAAAAACAACTCGGAGAAATTAAGTTAAATTTATAAAAGGGATAAAATTAAACAAAAGTGCATATACACGTGTGAACATAAAAGTAAAAAATGTATGTAAAGAAGCAATTTTGACATACATACAAAATGTCGTATATAGAGAAAAACAAACAGCACTTATGACATTGATGGCTCGTGTGAGAAAGCCTTAAGTGTGTTATATCGTAACTGAGAGATCGTAATCAAAAATGACAGACGAATATATAATATAGAAAATACAGGTTTAACCATCAATCATGGTACAATAAATAGGTAGTCCATTTAGTCCTGATGTCTCGATTAAATGTCAAAGTGCGTAATTTCTAGTTAATTCGATGTGCAATGTTGCCAACCATGCGAAATATTAAAAGGAAAATTTTGACAGAAGGTCGATACAAAAACAAAGGTTTTTGTTTTGATACATCACCTTATTATTGCATACTACCATCAACCCTATAGTACCAATTTGTGCATAAGTGGTGTAAACATACCCTAAGTTTACATTTCCATTGTTTATTAAATAAACTAATTAGCGGCGTTGGAAAAAATATATACCGACAGCTTAAAATTGTATGGGTTGGGTTTGGCTTTGTATGATTTAGAAAATAATAACAAAATAAATAAATTGTTGGGGATGTGAAGAAATTAACTGAATTTTTATGACAAAATGGACCAAATGAATACGTTGTGGCTTTTCATTTACAAACAACTGATGGTTCTGCGATTCCATTACAAATCTGTTGGGATTATATTAGTTACCTGTTTTGGATTGCAATACCTGCTACTTCGATTCATGTACCAACCCATTCAGCCCTTAACAGATTTCTATAGCCCTTCGGGACCGGAAGCAATGGTAATACCCATAATATCAAATGACAGGAAAATTATTCTGAATATGTTCTTTCACTAGCTAAATGGGTGCTTTTTTGATGCGGATCAGACATTCTTCTCCCCCGACACAGCCGAAGTAATTTCATTCATGGAAGAAAAGTGTGGTTCTCCTTTGGAAATGAAGGGCTTCTCTCATGTCGAAGCAATGGTGAAAACAATTGAAGAATGTAAAGAAAATTGTGTGGGAGTGCAATTTATGTTCTCTAATGGAACGGAAGGAACAAAAAAATCGTTGTTTTACACGATCTACACGAACCGTATGAAACTTCACCCAGAACATCGTTATGTTACTGACAATATAGACAGTTCATTTAGTCGTAAGTATATTGGATTACTTTAAAAATCATTTAATTTTGTGTCATATATTCCACCGGAGTCCTACGTTGTAACGAATATGTCAACATAAATTTAATGAAATGGATTTTCAATACATGGAATGGACAGGAGTGAAGTTCATACAATGTTCCTAAATGGGAACTTTTTTAAAAAATGTATCGAAATCATTCTCCAATTTCTCCCACAATTATCATGGAATCGTAATAAAAGATGTTGGTTGAAAATGTCTGAAATAATGTGTGCATTAGGGTTACCACCTCATATCCTGGTATTTATTTTGATGAGTTTTTATATTAGATTATATGTATTTCAAGGTGATTTGATAAAAAAAAACTCGAGCAGAAACTTTTTAAACATTTATTTTTTTTATCATTTTTTGTAGTCCCTGTAAAAAGATTTATGTAGCATTACGCTGTCGTTGCATGAGATGAATCTCTCATGTCTTGATTGGTGATCTATCTCTGACTATTCAAGTTTTTTGACGTTTAGGGTAGTTATTTAGAGCCACAGATAGTTTTTCGAAATCGAAAACTAACTTCACTAAAAGTATACATTTGCTTCTAATGTAAAGGACGTTTAACTTTCTGCATCTGGAGAAGGAAGCCATTTTGTGTATATTGCTGATACCTATATGCTGATTATAAACATCAAATTGTGATGAGGGAAATATATAAGACCATGTGACGAATAATAAAAATTTTCCCAATTCAATGGATATGCAAATAAATTCTATATCAGTAGCAATTTAATTCATTTAAGGGAAATCGATTGGGTTATTAGTTTTTGAGTTATCGTGCCCGCCATTCACAAAAAAATGTTTAGAGAAAAACGCGTTTCAAGTTTGAGAAGCCCTTCAGCCGTCACCTGATGCTGACACACTAAATCGGCTATATCTTCAATAGTTCTTGAGATTTTCACTTGAAATTTTGTTGGGACATTTATTAATTAGTGTAGATTCGAATTATATCAACAACATTTTTGACCCCGAGAATGGGGGGGTCCCCTTAAATGAAAAAAAGAATACTTACGATGTTTTCTAAATATTAGATATTTTGAACCCTTAATTTATTTAGTAAAGGTGTTTTGAGCCAAGTTTCAGTTAATATATTAAAATATTATCAAAACCAAATCTATAAAAAAATATACAGCCTGTTTTTGTAAAATTCTAAACGAACGAATTCGAGTGAACGACCAAACCTTTGTTTATGTAAACAAATATTTTTTTATTCAAAAAAAAAATAAATGACATATTTTACAAAACCAAGGAGTTTGGTCGTAAGTCACTCGAATTCGTTCGTTTAGAATTTTACAAAAACAGGCTGTTAATTCCTTGTGCTAATATCAAATGTTAAATAATTTATCTAGTTTTTTGATACTCCTTCAGATATCTGAGGAGAATGAACTAAATTATCTGCCTACTTACCTTCTAGATTCTTTAACAAACGCTCTAGCAGCCCAAAAACGAAGATTTCGGAATATGCCGATCAAAGCTTGTGGCATGTTAGAAAATAATTTTCATCGTTTTTAAAATGGATATATTAATTTAAATAATCAGCCGTATTATCAAGCGCAATCCTAGATACAAAGACTGCAAACTGCAAACACACCAGATATAACGATGAGTAAGAAATTATCGAAAAGTTTTTCGCAACCAGTTCCGGTTGTAGATTGATACGGGATATTCCCTGTGCATTGTACACGTTTGGGATCAGATTGAACTCTACCAAATATGTCTCACTACTCTTAGTGTAGTGGCGAGTAATACTAGTGAGGTTAAAAAGAAACTTCATTTCATCTATACAGCCGCCTGTGTCCTTACGAGGGCGGTTCGGAAACTTCTTAGCCTATAAGTGATAAAACACACTTGTGCGCTGGTGCGTTGTATCGATGAAAAATTATTTTTCGTGTTGTAAGCCAGGACATTTTTCCTCGAATTTGTACATTTAATTGATTCAAAAGGTTGCTATAGTACTCTGAATTTATTGTTTTACCCTTTACAGATAGTCAATCCATAAAATACCTTTGAAGTCCCAAAAAACCATTGCCATAACCTTACCAGCCGATTGATTTTTTTGCCTTTGGGGCACTTCCTCCAGCTTCAGTCCATTGTTTGGATTGTTCTTTTGTCTCTGGAGTATAGTGGTGGATCCATGCCTCATCAACAGTTATGAAACGACTCTTAAGATCCATTTTATTTCGCTTAAAATGATCAAAAAAACTTGAGAAATTTTAATTTTTTCCGTTTTTGATCGATTGTTAACAAATGCGGCACAAATCTTGCACAAAGCTTTTACATCTATAGTTCTTCATGCAAAATTAAATAGACACGATCATTTGAGATTCCCATGGTATTAGCAATTTCACGCAATGTAAGTGCTTGTACAACCACGTTTAAATTTAGCAACCCAATTTGTTACTGTGAAGGAGCACCTTCAACTAACACATTCACCATATCATTATGAATTTCTTTTCACGATAAACCTTTTTATGTAAATATTTAATGACAGCACGCATTTCTAATATTTATATAATGTGCATAATTATGTGCGTTTTTATTTAATTTTGATATTTTATCACCAAATATTCTTAAAGTGGCCAATTATTTTATGAGACGTTCCTCCTCCTTTATTTCTTCCTTCATTGTTTATTG